CACCTGAACCCTATTCGTCAGAAAATTCTGATCAGCTTCGAGCATCTCTCCTTATCCAACTTCTTAGTATGCTGGTTAGTATTTAGACTGAAATTGTCCAGTTGCAAATCTGAAGAATAATGGTGATTTAAGATTTTGTATGTCTCAATCAAGTCCCCTCTCTCTCGTCTAGCGTTTAGGGTTGTTATGTCATATCTCAGCAGTCTTTCTTCGTATGAGAGATTTCTGATTTCAGGGGGGAGTTTTGTCACTCTACGCTAGACTCTTTCCAAGATCTCAGTGTCCTTAGCCAGGTATGGGCTCCAAGCCGAATGTGCAGGCTCCAATTTAGGTCTGATATATGTTTTATATATTTTGCTAATCATGAGGATGGATCTATCACTGAAAGCTTTCTGTATGAGGTATACAAAAGAGTTTATCCTCTTGACAACTGAAGAAATATGGGCTTCCCATTTTAGGTGATTTGAGATAATGACACCTAGATCTTTCTGCTCAGTAACCGCCTTCACGGTCGTGCCGTTTAAGCTGAAAGGTATGTTTGGATAGTCAGGGCCAATGTGCACTTGTCAGGGTTGAGTGTTAACTACCATTCGCTGATCCATTTCTCTAATGTTTTGAGGTTGTCTAAAAAGTTGTGATGCTCCAAGCACGGATTGCAGTATATTTATGTGTCATCAGCATAAAAAATTATGTTTGTCTTTATAAGAGAATGAAGATCGCTGATGTATATGGTGAACAGCAGTGGCCCAACACCGATCCCTGTGGCGCCCCACTAAGGACCTTGTATTCATCAGAGTAATACCCATTTGCTCTCACTTGAAAGGTTCGGTTTTGTAGAAAACTGCCTATCCATCCGAGGAGCTCACCCCTGATTCCAAAGTGTTGCAGTTTGAACAATACCGCTTGAATGCCACTTTGTCAAATGCCTTCTCATATTCTAGGTACAGTACATCCACCGGATGTTCACTGTCCAGTTCTTTCATCCATGAGTTTATGCAGGTGAGTAGGTTGGTTTTGGTTGATCATTGGGGGAGAAATCCGTGTTGGATGGTCTTGTTTTTAACAAGGAAAGATGTCATTTCCTGAACTATTATTTTTCCCATGATCTTGCAGAGGTTACAGGTAAGGCTGATTGGTGTAAAGTCTAAAACTTAGGTTTGAGGGGGATATAGGTTTCAATGGTCTCCTTCACTATGCCCTCAAATTCACTGAGTTCCATATTGTCAGTATTTGTGCCTGCAAGCCTGTTATTGATATAGACATTAATGCTGTCATAGTCTGCCTTCCAGAAGTTACGTTTAAGTACTTTCCTAGTTGGCTGTTGCCCAAGTCTCAACAGTGCCATGGCCGTGATTACTGCATGGTCGCTCTGCCCCAGGGTGTGCGACGTTCAATATTTCAGATTAGGGCTGCCATCCGTCCGGATTTCCCCGGATTTTAAAGGCGTCCGGGGGGATTTTTTGAAGTTATCCGTATTTTACGCTTTACGGCATCTTGAAAAAAATCACGAATAATTCCGCGAAATTGACAAGAATCATGGAAATCGTCAATCGACATCATCAGTTTTATTAAGCCCGCGTGCGCGCGACTCAAGTTTCACGTTCACGTGCCGTTAGTCATGTTTGGAGCTCGGTGAAAGCTATGAAAAACCCCAAAAAAATGTTTTTTTTTTTGTCAAAATAATGAGTGGTTCTCGAAGGCTTGAAATAAACTTTTTTGGGCGTGGCACCCAAAAAAATCTTCTGCCTCCGGCGACGCCTGCTATTTTAATATTTAGCGAAACAACGTGAATGTCTGGGGGCGTCCTGTATTTGTGGTTTATGTTCGCGCAAATTTTTTGCCCGTTGATTTCAGTTTTTATCCAAATGCAGACTCCTCGTCCTTGTTTATCCTCACGTTCATTCCTGAACATATGATATCCAGGTAGGCATATGAGTGAGACAAGGACTCCTTAGTGGAACCATGTCTTGGTAACCAGATTGAAATTCATGGATTTTATTGTTTAGTGAGTTGGCATTTGTATAGTTAAATATAACTTTAGACATTATTGGGAGTTTTTTGGCCGCTGTTGGCCGGTTGGCCGCCATCAGCATTTGCCATGGCCTCTCTAGATTTGACGATCTTTGGTGTCCCATTATGATATTTGATTTTGATATTTATCTCATCTTCGCTGTTCTCTCCTTAAGTTCTTGTATAACCTTGCCTAAGTATACTCTTTGTGCTTTAGTTTCGTCATATTTTCCTGTTCCATCCAGTTAACTCTTAGATTCAAGAGGACAACGGCTCTACTTCTGTGTTGAAAATCACTTTGACTGGCCTATCTTTTCGTGGTGTGAATTGGCCAAGACGAAGTATTTTAATATCCGCGAGAAGTGTATTAGGGTTCACCGACTTTATAAGATCTCCCTTTGCCTTTATTTCCTTCTCCATCCTGCCTGCCTGAATTTACAAAAACATAGAGAAAAGCAAAATTGTACTGTTGTTGTTGTGGTAACTAATCATATATATTTTATGGTGTTTTTGAACGACCTCGGTATGGTAAGGAATTCTTCTAGCCAACATTATAAAATATGCAGATGACATAAATCTACTTGTCAGCAGCAAAACATTACGAGAATTGATAGTTAAAACTGAAACTGAGGAATACAAAGTCTTGATTCAGGAACAAAGTAAAAGTATATACTTATTAGGGCATTTTAGTAAACTAAGAACCGAGCTAAATTGGCATACATTGGCAGCCTAATAAACTTTGACAACCCCAAAAATTACACAAGGTCACGACTAAACAGCGAAGTAGGTATTCCTATATTAAAAACTCCAAATGGGGAAATGTGTACATACAGACAATTATTGAGAAAGCTACCTCCAAATAAACTTTGACAGGGTACCAATTACCAAGTAGAATCACAACTATCCAAATTACAACCCAAGACATCCAAGAAGATAAAAGCCCTGAAGGTTGACAGCTCGTCATGTCTGGACGGAATATCCTCATTAGTTCTTAAAAAGTGCTCAAACGACCTTGATGTTTCCCGTGCAAAATAATGAATAACAATAAGCTTGCTACCCATTGTAAGCAAAATCATGGAATCCATGGTTCCAGAAAATCTGAGACGCTTTCTTGAATAAGAACAATTGATTCCAGCTCAACAACATGGTTTTGTATCAAACCACATTTTGCCTTCCTGACTGTCTTAACAATTGGACAAAATCATTAGATCAAAAAACTCCCATTGATGTCATATACTTGGATTTTGCCAAAGCATAGCTGGGTTCCAAGCCAGAGGGAGGAGGGATTTATTGCTTGGGACCAAAGACTATCTAACAAACAGGGAGTATAAAGTCGGTGTTGGCGACTCGTGCTCTGAACACTATCCAATACAAAGTGGCGTACCCCAAGGCTTGCACTTTGCACCTCTTTTGTTTGTAACTTACACTATAGATTTCCTCAACCTAATAATATCAATATGTGCAGCGTCCGTTGGCGACCTAAAAACTTATGGTTCCGCCAACAATTCTGATGCGCTCCAGAATGATTTAAACCAAATTGAGAAGCGGTGGGAGGATTGGCAACTACCAGTTAATGTGGAAAAATGTGTGCTACTCCTTCCTGGGAAAAATAACCCAGAAAATGAATACACCATCAATGGGTCAGTACTGATCAGTGTTCAGCAACACAATGACCTAGGAGCTTTAATAGCCAGAGACTTGACCTGTTCAGCACATGTAACAATAACAACAATATGCAAAAAAACATCCAACGACAAGTGATTGTTTAAATTCATAAATAAAAATTTCTATTGAACAAGGTCTTCACACCCCCCAAGAAGCGTTTACAACTGTACAACATAAACTGTAGGCCAATCCTAGAATATGAAGGTCAGGCTTGGCACCCAGACTTCATTAGAGACCCCAATAGCCTTGAAGCTGTACAGGGAAAAGCAACATGATTGCACAACTTTGTAGAAGAGAACCCACATACAAGGAAAGACTAGAACAACAAAAACTGCCGAGCTTCCAAAATAGAAGAACAAGAGGAGATCTCATCTTCGCCTACCAGACGCTCCACAGCAACATTTAAACAGTTAGATACCTCTATTCCTTGAACACAGACCAGAAACTCCAAGGTCAGAGTCTTAAATTTGTGTAGGGAGAACTGTTTACTAAATAGAGTTTTTGCCCTTTGGATTGTGGAATCAACTCCCAGCTGAAACAGTTACTGCTACTTCAGTGTCAGTATACAAGACAAAACTTGATAGTCAGTGGCCAAAAATATGTTTCTGGTGTATAATTTTTTGAAAACAAAATCCAAGGACAACACCGAAAACCTTGCCTCTCTGCCAGATTTCTATCAAAAGATATGTCTTTAGAGTTTGCAATAAAACGTAGACGTCATGTGACGTCACAACCAAAAGCCATGCTTCACCTATTTGGGTCAACCCGTATTTAGGTGAAAGTCGCTGGATTTTATTAGGAGTCGAGTCTATGGTATCTGAGCGGTTGTGATGTCACGATCTTACAGTTGTTTTGTGAATATCTTGAAAACCGTTAAGCATAAAATGGTGCGGCTTGAAATATTGTTCTTAGAGTTTGTTATACAGAAATTTTCAATTTTGGTTTACACCTCCTTTAAGGGATTTTTGTCCAGATCTAATATAATACCTAATTCTGAACTCTGTAACACTGTGATCTTTTGACTCTGTTCCATTTCATGTATTATGATACTGAAAGAAATATTATTATTATTCTATAGCACTATGTATCAATGGCAAATAGTGTTTGAAGAGTTTCAATAATTTGTACCCACAGTCACTAGACTACTAGATAAAGCTAACTTTAAACCATATTTTATTATTCCTATATGCATGTGTACATACAGACAATTATTGAGAAAGCTACCTCCAAATAGTGTTGTGCTACATATTGACATGTTTCCATTAGAAAAATAAAAGTTGTATACCAGTGTATATACAAAAATTAACCAGTTTATTCATTTTCAGTGGAAAAAAACCTCAAGATCAAGACAATACCTCGGATAAAGAAAAAAAAATGCACTGGTACATGCGCAGCCGTAGCATGAAGAGCTTAAAAGAAGAAGATTCCATTACTTCCAGTAGTACCACCACAACTGATACTAGAGGAAATAGCTCGGCGCCAAAATCTCTTTTGGAACGACGCTGGTCAGCTGTTAGTAATGTAGCTAACTTTAGGAAGAAAAAAAGAATTTCTTGCGCTGCTACAAAAAAAGAGCTAGCGATGGCAACTAGAAACAATAAGCCAGAAGATGCTGATTACGTACGGGTACCTAAAATTGAATATGAGGATTTTAAAAGTAGAGTCACCGCAATAGAGCGTAGAATTTCTATGGAGCTTGACAGCGTCCAAAATCACATGGACAATGACAATAACGTTAACAAGGAAATTGCACATGAAAAAGATAACAACATTCAAAACGTGCAAACAGCTTATCAAATGACTCTAGAAACTAGTTCTCTAAGCCCGACCACAGATCAATTAGCCAAAAGATTAAGCAGAGATTTGAGAATTAGACGAAGCAGCGAACAAAAAATCATCAGATCACCTAGTGCAAGGAAAATAGGAACCATTCGAAGACGTTCAACCGAAAGAGAAAAAAAGAACTCGCAAATTAACAGGAATCAGTCTTGGCATCTTGGAACTTCAACTGCCCCGTTGTTGCCCAGAGTTAGCACGAGACGCAAAAGGCCTTTAAATAAAGATGAGGCTATTATAAGTCAAATGAATTTGCAACCAGAAGTAACACCCCCTAGAAAACTTCCTACTAATAATGAAACCAATTTGCAAAGATCTGTATCGTTTCCAAAATCCAATAAAAGAAAAACTCTCAACACTTTATCCAGAATTGATTGTACTTTCAACTTGGCCAAGGCCAATATTCACCAGTCCAGTCCCACAATCGACTCAATGGCGTCTCGCAGTAGCCATTGTCACACATCGGGCGAATCCAGTGAGCATTGGGTGAGTGCCGAAAATTTCTTTGCAGGCTGCAAAACGCCTCTAGAAGAAGAAGTGTCAGTGAATGCTAGAGCTTCTATTGCGAAACTTAGAAGTCAGAATGTTGGGATGGTTCTTGCTAAGGCCAGGTAAGAACTTAAATGTTGAAAATAATCTATTTTCTATATTGCATTGAAGAAATGGTGTCTCGACACTTCTAATGTAAATTTACATTAAAAGTGCCCAGCGACTAAAAAGCGGTGACCGTTTTCGGGAACGAGGATACCGGCCCTGGCGCATCCGATTTTGGAGTTCGCCAGTCAATCTGGAATTGCGAAACTGGTCAAAACTGGCATTTTCCAAAAAATATCCAATTTTATGGATTTTTCTAAATTTTTACTCAACACCCTGTATCTCCCTTTTTTGGAGAGCCAATTGCTGAGAGAAATTGTATTTAACAATTTGCGTAAATGTATATGCTCGCGCAAGTAACTCTGGGAAGTTCTATCGCACTTTACTATCCCGTGTAAACCACGCTTTATATTATTAATAAACTCTCACCTTATTTTTATTGTAGACTGTTCGATAACTTAAAAGACTCCGACACTTCTTGTTCATCAAATCGCTCTCAACCATCTTCAGCCAAAAAAACTCCAAAATCTGCCAAAAATACTTCATTAACTCCAAGATCGAGCAATTCAGCAAGGATGTCATATAGGTAGGTAATGTCTATAACTATTCTTTTATTATAGTAGATTTTAATAACTCGAATACTTTTAAACAGAATCAAAGCTCTAAGAGCTGAAAAACGAAGCAACAAAAAATCTTCAAGCCATTCACCGAGGCGCAAGCAAGCGATTCAAAAACAACGTTTGCAAAATATCGGCAGACAGCTTGTGAGGTCCAACAATTTCAGTGATTCTTCAATGGAAATCTCCGACTCAAATACTCCATGTAGAAACATTAGGATGTCGCCAAAAAAAACTACACATGTCAACGTGCCATATATCAAAATGCCGTTAGTAGTTAAGACACCTAAAAGACTTTGTAGGACACCGGGGGTTGATAAGAAGACTCCTTTTAGGGTAATGGCAACACCGCTGTGAATCTTGACTGAAAATTATATTTTTGCTCAACAATATAATAATAATATGTAATAATAATAATAATCCTTTATTTACTACCTGGCAATTAGTTTTATCAATATTAAACTTTACAAGAATACACTATATAACTTAGTGCAACATTGTTCTCAATATTAGTCTCTCTACTGTGTATATTGCTCAAAAAAAAAATTGTGATCACTTTCCATACAAGTATAGTAGTAGAAGGTATACAGAACCCCTGGAACATATAAAAAAATTAGTGATGGAAGAGAGAAAGGTTATTATGATGTCATCTAAGAGATGTGCAAACTTCTCCTCTCAGCATTCTATATTTTATGATAATAATTTTTCTGGTAATAGTTGTCTATGAGTGTATCACTTATGCTTGTTCTTTTGAGAGTTGGCAATCTTACTTTTTTCTTAAGTTTTTAAAGTACCTACCTACAATAACGTCCTCTCTATGTCGATGAAGATTTCAATAATTCTGTTTTTCTTGTTCCAATCTGAGAGGGAATAAATATACTGTATACCGCTAATTTGAATAGTGAGAACAAACACACAATAAAATGAGATGTTTTTGTTTAGGTATTTAATGTTTTATTCCCGATTTTTTTCGATATCTTTAGCAATGTATTTTTCTTTTGTGCTCATTGTCAGAGATGTGCTTGTGTTCATTATATAGGTACATTATAAGATTTGTTTGTCATTTTTATGTATTTACTCTTGTATTGATTATTAAAAATACACATTTTATAGGACATTCAAAGCATTTTTATTATTAGTGTATGTTTTTTTTTGTATAGAGGAATTTTTTATTTAAGAGTACATTGATTATTAAATATTAATAAAAAATCTGCTATTAAGTTGTTGTTTTGATATTTTGATACACGGGTAGCCCAATCTGGACACCTATTTGATAGGAAACGTCAGTGTCTGAATGAGATACAAAAAAAAAACAACTCTGAGGCTCAAATTCCATGAAATCTTCATTGGTGCAAATTGCATTTTGATAACTTCAGCCGCTACTGACCAAAGTCCGATTTTTCAAATAGGCCACCCTATATTGATAACTCATTGAATAGCACTGCTTTTGCTGATTTGAATGATACAAGGTTCGACAGTTTTCGAGAATATGGCTATAACACAGTAAAAAGCAGGTACTCTACCTGTTTGTAACTGTGAACCGATTTGAAGCGCGAGTCGGCGCTGGTTACTGGTAAGCGGAAACCTGCTTGCACAGTGTTTGTTCACTATACGTAAAAACAGTTGTGTCTTACAAACCAATGTGTTAGAAAAGGACTTTATGTCGGTAAAGGAAATGAGAAAGATATATTTAATACATTGTTTCTTAACAAAAAAAAAAAGGTTAATTTCATTTCCTGAAAACTGTTAGAGATAAACAGAATAACTTTAAGTACCTACATGGTAATTTTGGAAACCTTAAAAGATACAGGGTGGACCAAATAGGAGAAACGTTGCGAAAACAAGTGTCTAGAAATAATCTGTCATCAACTTCTTTGAACTCTGAATAGCTTGTATTGTATACAGTGTCATTCAACGAGGACTGAACAGGGGTTTATTTTTGACTCTCCCTGTATTCAAGGCCGCAACTCAAACTCTCGGCGGCCAAGGCCAATCCAAATTTTGGCGCCTACTACTTATTCTACCACTGTATGAAGATACGGGGTGATCAATATTTTATTATCCTCGGCTCTTAATGTAGAAAATCTTTTACGAGAGCCAGTAATAGAAAACAATTTTACCCACTGTAATTTGATTCAATAAAAATAAGCCAATGTATAAAGATACAGAGTGATCAATATTTTATTATTCCTGGCGCTTATGGGAAATTTTTCACGAAAGCTGATAATCAAAAACAATTTCTTTCACCACTGTGTAAAGATACAGGGTGATCAATATTTTTTTATCCCTGACTCCTAATCTAGAAAATTTTCCACGAAAGCCAGTAATAGAAAACTTTACCTGCTAATTTGATTCAACATCAATATTTTATTATTCCCGGCTCTCATGGGCGCCGGCAGCAGGGTGCAAGGGGGTGCACTTGGACCCCCCTGCCAGAAATACATTGAAAAAATTATTTTAATTTTATTATTATTATTTTTTTAAAAGTAACTGTTTGAAAAAATTGGCGAAATGAGAAACGATGGCCCCCTCGCACTCTTTGTTCCCCGTGACATTCCTCGGCTCACTTCCGGCTCAGATCGGGTTATTTTATTTTTATTTCGCGCCATCAACCTGTAGAATGGCGGGAATTTCGAATTTACTCAAATTCTAGTTTATTGATATAAATTTCTTTAACTTCTACGATTTGATAGCCCGAAAAAAGTATTAAATTACGAGAAGCCCGTGCCCAGGGCAGACATATCACCGGGCAGTTCGGTGCGTCGCCCAGGGGCTCACGGTCTAAAAGGGCCCCACGATGTTGCGGAAAATTTCGAATATGTAGAAAAAAATGTCATACATGCAAAACAAATATAACATTTTAATTAAGCTACATTCAATAAGGACTCAATTCCTATCTTTTAAAATATCATTCACCATACCGCCCATGCCTAAAGTGTGTTTTTTTTAAAGATAAAAGTCAAAATGACATTATGTTGGCAATACAATGTAAAATTGTCAATGCTTTTAAATTTTTTATATAGAAAAGGCTTGTATTGCCAACATAGTTACTAAATTTAAATTTTTGACTTGGGGAATTATCTTTTAAAAAAAAAACATACTTTAATAATATTCGTTTCTGTTGTTGAGAGCATCTGGCAACGCTGAGCGTGCTTCCGAAGTGTTCCGAATATATCTGACCATAATTTCGAGAAACACAGACCGACCCAACAGTCCATATATTGTGATTTGACTACCACTATTTCCAGGCCGCATTTTTATTTTCCTATTTTTTACTTGATACCATAGCTTGATACTCAAGGGCAGTGGCGCACCCAGAGGGGGGGATTGGTCCAGGGTCCCCCCTAGGCCGCCCGTCCAGTACTGTATTTTTAGGTACAAAAAAATTTGACATCATGGCGTGGCACCTTGACTCGTCAATTTTTTATTTAGATTTTTAGACATAAGCCACAACCTTTGTAGGGTCCCCCCATTCCCCAAACATATTTTCTAGGTGCGCCACTGACTGCTCAAGGGAATCAAGTGATAGGTTAATAGGCCTAGGGGCCCCCAAATATATTTTGCCTTGAGGGCTGCCTGTGCCACTTTCCACCGAGGTGAAAACATCATATAAATTTACAATCACCTACACATTTTTTTTTCTGAAAGCTCAAAATAACCGTTATTGGACGTGGCACCCGGACAAATTTTCGCGCCTCCGGCAGCTCCTGCGCCAAGCATTCACCTTCCTAAATTAGTAATTTGAACCAATATAACAATCCACGCGCCCCCCTGACCGTATGCATCTCCCTGAAACTAATCCTGGCGGCGCCCATGCCGGCTCTTGTAGGAAATCCTTCATGAAAGTTGGTAATCGAAAACAAATCCACCACTGTGTGGAGATACGGGGTGATCAATATTTTATTATCCTCGGCTCCTAATGTAGAAAATCTTTCACGAAAGCCGTTAATAGAAAACAATTTTACCAACTGTAATTTAACTCAACAAAAATAAGTCACTGTATAAAGATACAGAGTGATCAATATTTTATTATTCCCGGCTCTTGTCGAAAATCTTCCACGAAAGCTGGTAATCGAAAACAATTCCACCACTGTGTAAAAATCAGAGTGATAAATATTTTATTATTCACGGCTCTTGTAGAGAATCTTCCACGAGAGCCGGTAATAAAAAACAATTTTACCCACTGTAATTTGATACAACAAAAATAAGCCATTGTATACGATACAGAGTCATCCATATTTTATTATTCCCGGCTCTTGTAGGAAATCGTTCACGAAAGCTAGTAATCGAAAACAATTCCACCACTGTGTAAAATTACAGAGTGATAATGGCCATTTCCACCAACTATTTTAGGGAAGCCCTAACGATAAGTATTCCCTAAACTGACAGTTTTCCATGGATGTCAGTTTAGGGAATACTTATCGTTAGGGCTTCCCTAAAATAGTTGGTGGAAATGGCCATAAATATTTTATTATTCCCGGCTCTTGTGGGAAATCTTCCACGAAAGCCGGTAATAGAAAACAATTATTTTTTCTACTACCGTGCGTAAAATACTCACTTTACGCACTATTCAGAAGACGTAAAATTCCTCTTCACGCACTACCCCAGTAGCACACAATGTTGGTCCGATGTTGCGGATACATTGGACCAATATTATAAATTGGCCCAATATTGGCATTTTTTAGCCAACATTAGACATTTATTGGTAATACAACTTCTTTGATCATTATAATAATATATTTATCCAAGAATGGGCCAATATGCTTAAACAATATTTTTATCGGCAGCATATAGCCAAGATTGGTTACATATTGGCAATACAAATTTTTCTTATATAACAGTGATATATTTATCCATCATTGCACCCATAAGCACAAAAAAATTGTTTTTTTGTGCATTATTGAGCCAATTTTGGCAATACAACTTTTTCTAATGTTACTATAATATTGTATCCATTAATGGACCAATATGGACAGATAATGTTCTTATTTGCATTATTAAACCAATATTGGATAAATAATGGCAAAATATTTTTTTTCTAATATAACAGCGATATATTTATCCATATTGGCCAAATATTGATTCTGTATTGGTAAAATATTGTAAATAGGTCCAATATTGGCAATTTGTAGCCAATATTGTTAAAATATTGGGGATTTACCTTTTTCCTACATTATTATTATATAATACCTATGTGAATCCAAGATTGATCCAATATTGGATTCGATCCATGTTTGGCAATATCTTTTATTCACGTATACATTTAATATTTATCCAATATTGGTGATATAGGAGATGTACCTTTTCCATATCAATCAGGACTACCGAGAGAGGGCACCACGCGCTACTGATGGCCTTGCTCTTTCCTGGTGTTTGAGTTTCCTTCAAAACTGTTTCTTTGAGTTGGTATGTGCTTCGCTAACAAGCTCGAAATCGGAAACCGGTCTAGTCTTCAGGTGTTAGAGCTCTGGTTAAATACATGTGTTTTTCCAAAAAAATATTTCAGGGAAATATTGTAAATAGAAATATTTCATATTTATTAATTGTTAATATTGGAGAAATGTTTATATTCAATATCGGATTCATATAAAAAGTATACATTGTACCAATCTGAAAAACAAATATTGGGTATAATTCTAAAAGCAATATTACATGTTTTAATTATATTTTACCAATATTGTTGTGCTACTGGGGTGGGGTAGTGCGTAAAATAATTCACTTCACACACTGGTGCGTAAAGTTATGTCAATGACAGATGTTGACACTGTCACTGGTATTTTTCTGGTAAATTACTTCACGCACTAGTGTGCAAAGTGAGAATACTTCACGCACTAGTTCGTAAAGTATTTGTCTAAATCTATTTTTTCACACATATTTGATTGGTAGTAGAAAAAATTTTGTATGCAATACGTGCGTAAAGCAAAGCACCTTTTTTCACACTTTGTTGCATAAATAACTATTATCCACTGTAATTTCATTGAACAAAAATAAGCTACTGTATATTCTGGGTTCCTGGACACATAGGAGTCGAGGGCAATGATGCATGCGCTGCGCAGACGAACTTGCAAAAACGGGAGCGGCCACTCCCTTCACTGGGACAGAACCATTCTGCGGCGTCAGAAATGCGCACCTCCAAGAAATCCTCAAAAAGGAAGAGAACCGGCTAAGGAACAAACAATGGCTAGATCAACCAGGACTATGACAG